ACCTTTACTACGAAGATCGCCAGCTGCAGCTAGTACGCGCGGTAAGATAAGTAGGCTGGGCGATAGAAACGCAGGTGACCAAAGCGGAATCCCGCGTCGGCGAAGACAACACTAGAACTAGTCGTAATTGTCTCCTCAACTCTTGCCAAATAGAGGTGATGTTTTTGACACAAGTGTATAATCTGGACGACGATGATATAGACAGCATAGACTAGCCAGCCAAACAGTCTAGTCGGCTACGGTGGATTAACGACCAATCGCGGCAAGCCTAAAAGCCTAGGCAGATACATTGGTAACCGTAAACAAAGCCTTGCTGATCGCCGTCAGCGCGCTAGAAAACATTTCAATTTGTTGACCATCAAGCTTTCGGGACGGAACGGCTGCAGCGGCATCCGGCAACACGGTACAACACCTGCTTCCATCGATAATCGTCGTCCGATCGCGTGAACGTTTTGCTACTGTTGAACGCAGACTACCAATTTGATGTTTCATTACTATACGTCGTTCTCTTTTCCCTCGTTACCGTATAAGTGATACCTGTTACGGACAGCAGCAACAATAGCAAAAAAAAAAGTCTCAATGCGGAATAGAAGAAACGAGTCGTTCCTTTCTAGGCTATCGAGATTTCGCACGGGTGTCGACTAGCGGAGGAGAAAGGTCCATTGATTGGTTCAGCTCAATACAGGACATTGGCGTCTGCAGGGTTGATCAATAGTTGATTTTTCTTATCATCATCATACACTGAGGACGCGGGTGCTGTGTCAATAGGCAGTGGTGAGTACAGAGAACAAACGAATATGTATATATGCAAGCTAACGCAAAAGTCTCTTGATACATACGGACACATATATCTATATATATATACAATGTTTACTGTAATACATTTGTAGCTACCCAGTAAGTCAGCAGTTTCACACTCGGTCATGTCATTAATCAAACATCCGACGCAAGCTAGTCATTCAGCGATAATTTGTGGATGACCAGCCCGGGCAGCACCATTGGCGTGAGCGTTCCATCCCCTCTCCAGTAGTTCAGATGCGTCAGCCATTTTACGAGATTTCGATAAGGGGGATGTAGAGAATGGCAGAACGTCAAATAGCCTGCGCATTAGTACGCTCAAGCCAGCTCCACGTTTGAACCACCGTTTATGACACTTGTGACACTGTCACTCGGAGAGATGGGGCACAGACACTCATCATACGGCAAGAAAACCGCACGCGGGTGGTCCTCGCGCTGCAGCGTGAGCAGCCGACACGTCGTCTGCAGCGGGGCGTCAACACTCGTCTATACCGTGAGCGGCAATCGCAGTACTGGAAAAAAAGCCTTCTTCAATCGCTCAATTACCGGTCAACTGTCGCCTAGATCTGAAAGACGAGCAAGAATGATTCTCCGTTCGGCAAGCGACGACGGCAATGGTAATTATTCGAGGGTGTTTTGCCTCTACTTTCTTCTATTTTAGCAGGAAACTGAGCAAAAGAGAATGAGAGAAATTAGAGGAGTCTCGTTTGGTAGTGGCCAGTAACCTGCCGGCATGTTAGGATGGTTGGCAAAACTTGTCAAGGGCTGTAGTGATCCACATTTGTATGTCATCTAAACACTAGGATATAGGCAAAAGCCAGAAAAAACTAAAAACAACTGATAAAAAGAGACCAAAAGGGTCATTTTCAACGCGTGGGTGGGTGGCTACAGTGCGAAAAAAGACGGTCCTTTGAAGAACATGTTCACATTTCGCTAATATTATAGCATAAATCCATTTTACCTTTATGTTCAGTATTTGTAGCTTACCTTACTTGCCATAATGACTGAGCGTCTACGCCCTGTTGACTCTAGTCTTTTGCGGATCGTGCGTTATCATACGAACGTTGATCCTCTCCTAACCTACAATAACATATCTGAAACTTTTCATAAGGCTGGTCGCTTTTAAATCTCGACCTTCGTGGCAACGTGTATTGCCCAGTACCCCACGAATAGACAAAGGCTATCAGCTAATAATGTATATGCAGCGACCAAACAGTGTCATCTACTAATCGCTCCTTTAGAAAGGTGCTCATCAAATTACGCCGCGTGCCTGTTCTTAGTGACTGACGTGCCATTCGATGCTAGCGTCAGTGGGGTTCCGCTATTGTCTGCACCCACCGGTCGGCCGCCTACACGTCAGATAATACGTCTATACGATACATCAAACTAAGGCCTGTGTCGTCTCCGATTTTTGGTGGTCTCGCGGTTGTAGCGCCATTACCAGCGGTGGTTGTCGTTCATTCCTAGTCTTAAGCTCTTATCCTTTTTCGTGTTCTTTATTATGGTTCCGATTCTCAGCAGAGCTCGTAAACTCTTGTTGTTCTAATACCAACGCAAAACGAGGGTGGTAGGAAATGCTCTGAAGCGAGATGGCCGGGGGAAAGGCCATCAAGGAGGAACTGCTCGCGACGTCGTTGCGGCAAATACACACCGCTACTGCGGTCGCTGCTGGCGGCGATCACAAACAGAAGCAGCCGTTGTCTTTTACAAGATTGTCTATTTCTCCCTGTCGTTTTTATAGCAATGAACAGATCTGCAGCAAGTGGCAACCAGTTCAGTGCCAGCAGTCGCTCAGATAGCCTTTCGCCAAGCTGCAGTAAAGGGGTCATTCAATAAATTCACATAAAGAGTAAGAAAATGCGAGACTCCAAAGGGAATCCGGATGGATCTGACATGTACGGTTCTAAGATGGGCATGGACAAAGCCTCCCGTCTCCAAACATATCCCACACGACAACATCTTCTAGTGCCAGGCAGACAAGGCTTGCCTCAAGCCTTTACAGTAAATTTCTGCGACTGTTGACACGAGAAGACCAAACGCAAAAGAGCGAAAAGGTGGCGTTCGTATGTTCTATCCGAGCACTAGAGGAACTAAGAGGACTAGTAGAACAATAGACTCGAGATGAAAACCAGGGGGCAGCACAGATGTAGAGTGACTGTAAACGCTAGGATTGGCCACGAATCACTTTCATCGGTCCGTCTTCCCATTTTCGCTGTAGTTTGTTCCGTAATACGGCATCGCCCATTGAAGCAGCTGTAGAAGCAACAGTTAGACTCAACAGAGATGAGAAGGAAACAAGGCAAATCAACTGGGACAGACTGTTACATAGTCTGACTGAGCTGAACCAGGCGAATACTGATTGTAGCTATGGCACGGAGTGGAGAGAAGGACAGGAAATGGAGAGAGGCAAAAGAAAAAGCAAAAGCCCGCGCGACTAAGGTAGGGCACAGTAATTTGTTATCGATGACTAGATAGCCGAGCCGCGTTTTGCGTCTGCGGGGCAAAGGCTCATCCCCACACGAGGTCACGAGCCGATGAGGCTTTAAGGGTCTGACGACAATAGCAGCAGTAACATGCGGCTATTTCAAAGTATTTTCCTGCAGCGTCATAGACCAATATACACAGCACACAGCCATACACGAACAAATAAAGGTACATCTCGAAAAACATGTACTAACATCACAGTGCGTATGCCCAAAGCGAAAGAAAGCCTAAAGTTCTTTGCCGTGGCATGAACTCCTCTCTCGAACATCGATCGATGATGCGTCTGATGATCGACCTGGCAAAAATCAGGGGACCCAGGCAGGCAAAACAACGGACAAACTGATAGACTTGGATGTCGGCCGTATTAGCAGCAGGACCGGCATCGTCGCTTGCGTGCGCGTTTTATCTAGTTCTTCTCCACTGTCTGCCGCGGCAAAAACAGCAAGGGTACCAATAACAGCTGCGGCCATAACACGCTCTCGTCACGGGTTTTCTCCCTTCCGATCTCCTTTAGCATTTCGCAGCTCTCTCTGTTGAGCTTTGCGAATTCATCACCTTATATCTCCAGGTCGAACTCCAGACTCTAATAGGCGGTGGCGACGCGCCAACAGACATTCGTTAACAAATCTAAGAGAAAAACAGACCTGACGGGGCCATTTGCTGCACCACTAAGCGTCTTGGTGGCTTAATGAAGACAACGGTCTATCTATTACCGGTAGCAGCAGTATCGGCGCCAGAAGCGGTCGGCGTAATACTAGCCGGCCTGTGATACGGCACGTTGGCCAATGTTTACTATTAAAAGAAAAAAAAGACGAAAAAAATGCTACGCATCCTGGAAGAATTTATCAACTGCATGAGACTGGTGTGCTATGGGTACTGTCTCTATGGTAGAGTGCTATATGTACATTATATCATAATAACGATATTCGTAAGAGCGAAAAAAAAAATACCGTAACAGCTTCACGCACACGTAACTCATCACGATTGTTTGCACGTGCTAATCGTAGGTCGACGGAACGAAAAATTGAATTCCTCTACCTTGATGTGCCTATCTATCTGCCGAAATAGACTATGGTAGTCAGTTGTCCGGCACATTGAATTATGCGAATCGGCCTTGCAGGAACGGACGTTTGTTTGTTTTCAAGATAGCGTCGCTTTTGTCTAGGACCCGTAGCTCCGTTGGCAAAGTACGGACGCTGGTGTGGAATCGTCAACAAGGTGAAGATGAACGTTTTGGCCTGACCTAACCGTACCAACTGACGACAAAGCCTGAACCGCTGTAAGTGCCAACATCACTTGCCCCCCTGCCCAACGACCCCCAATAGGAAGCACCGAATAGGTCTGAGAGCTTGAAAAGTGTTACTAAAAGAAAAACAAGTAAGCTATGTCTATTTAATTGTAAACGAAAGGTACAATTTTCGCCGAGTAGCGCAATGCCCACGACAAAAAAACTGTTTGCATATTATAGTACAGATATATAGATGCATGTTTAAAAGCAACAAACACCGTTCCGATGTCGAACCTTTTTTGAGTGTTGATTTATGGGAAAATTTAACTTTTTATTATCGACCAGTATGCTCTATAGTGAAATTAGGACTGTATCATACTTTTTTTTTGTGAATTTCAAGCTGTCCGAGTGTAGTTTTTTACGTTTTTTTTTAGATGAAAGTGACTGAAAGCTATCAGAAAAAAAAATAGTAAAAGGAAACGAAGCTCACCTTGAATAAACGCTCTGATCAAAGTTATTCTTGATTAGTAGAAGTAATTTACGTATATATTGCCTTTATAGCGTGTGGCGCTTTATAGAGAAAGCACTGTATCTCATTAACGAGCACTATATGAATAGGTATTTGTATATATCCGAGAAGGCACACACAATCCTTGGCAGTATCACAGCATAATTCTGCTCTAAGTTATTATCGCCGCTCCCATCTAAATTATTAGAGTGGATAGGAAGCTTGTTATCATTACGAGTTTAGTGGAACTAGCTGGATTTTGTACACATCTTAAATGCGCTTCTCGCCTTTATAGACGTTGGAAAAGCTTCCGATGGAACACACATACCGTACAGATACAGACACGCCAACCCAAATCGTAAAATCACACCAGCCTTTTCCTTACAGCTGTTTCCTAGGTTCCTAAGACGTATTTCGCTTGTTGAAAATGTTACGAATCTTTGTAATTTTGCCTGGATACAGACGATTGCCGTATGCTCGACGCTACAACAGCTGTTGCCTTTTTTTCGTGCGTTTCGATCCCTTTGCGTATTGTTCCTAAATCGTCGATCTGGCAGCCCGTTCCAGGAGTTACGTTTCCGCGCAAACGGCGCTACGCGCGGTTCTCTTCTTACGAAAAGCGACAACCGCGATGACAGCCGATAGCGGCGTGCTCGGCCTGACCGTTACCACTATGTCGGCGGCTAAACTCTTCCTAAGTAAGTAGTTCCTTGATTTTAAGTTTGGCACATGTATCCCTTAACCTAAGATAAAGTAAGGTAGCTGTGGGGCAGTGTAGGTGACAGCGCAAGCCGGCGGACTTGATCCTTTGTTGTTGTTGCTGCTGCTGCTGCTGCTGCTGCTGTTATCGGCACGTGGCATTTTGACGTTACAGCCGACAGCCGCCTCTGGAACCACGAATGACTGCTCCTTGTATCAATAAATTAACGAACCTTGCTGTTTTTACCAATGGATACAGTAAAGGTAGTTGAGCTTTTCTGTCTGTACACGCCCGTTCGTCTGGTTCTAGCTAAACCAGTTAAACTAGCACTCGTTTGGATGGCGATAATCGTGGCGGGACCGTGGTTGCCGTCAGTGGGCGGTCAGCCGGACGCTCGCTGACAGTCAGTCGTCTCGTTGGCTGGCTGGTCTGTTGGTTTGCGGCGGGTCTCTGCGGCGGGGAGCCCGCAACTCGGCCCTCAACGATCGACGCTGCGCGCTGAGGCTGGCTGGGAAGAGACGGATGCCGAGTGAACGGTCCCTGCTCGCGATGCCACCAGAGTGATGCCTCGGGACGGCGGCGAGGGGATCAACGAATTGCCCTTTCCCTCGGCTTACTACTGCTTCTGCGGTGCTTGGCGCCCGGCGCCCAGACAGCTAGAGATGGCCACAGACAGGCAAACGCCAAGCAACTGGCCACGACGGCCAGTGGGCACAGGATGAGACCAGTCGAGGACAGCCGACCCACGTTATCCGGTATTCAGCATAGAACGAAGATGTACAGACATCCAACGGTGGCTGGTACCGACCGACTGTCGCGTCTCTTGGCTCTGTCTTGCTCTCTCTCTCTCGCGGGTGTATCTCGGCCCTAATACTTGTAGTATAACAGTGCCCTACGATCGCCCCCATACCTGCAGACCGACGAACCTACCAACGGCTTAGAAGCAATGCTTGACATCAATCTGTACGTGCCAAACTCTAATTTGAACAGTGAGTTTCCATAGCAAGGCAATAACTGGTTTTCTCTCTAGCTTTCTCTCTCTTCAAGGGCTTGATTAGAGCGGAAACAAAAGCGATGACAATGGCAATTGAATTATAGACACTTTTTCCTAACTAGATCAAATGTAAATTAATTAAATTTTTTGGGTATTGCTAAATTTGATTGTGAACATCGTACTCTTGCTCATTACAGGAGTCATCATGAATGGTGACGTTAAAAGTGATAATATAGCAGCATCCCACATATATATAGCTCGTCATAGGTCTTCGGTCGAGTGGCTATAGTCAGCCATTATGGGATAGATATTCAGTGTGCAGGAAAGACACGCTGCTCTTTATAACAGGACTCTCCTGTCATCTGTATGACGTGGCAGATGACTTGTTACGGGTACTTATCAGTAAGTGATAGTATTTTAATGGCGAAATACTTCCATACACGGGTGGACCACATGCCTATCGCTTGCTGACCTGCGAGTACAATTTGTTTGCCAGAAACCGCTATCCTATCCCAACAAATAGCCGTGATAACCATGTTTACTGATTGAGGTTTAATCATCCTATTACGCAAGAATCTAGAAACTCACACGGAAATAGAACATTTATCAAGGTGGTTTAAATAGAAAGGTTATCCGGCCGTGTATGACCTTCTACTCGTACCGTGTTTCTCTTTAGTACGCCCAATTTGCATTTCGGACATATCCCAGGTGATTAACCGCGCATTGCTTGGGTAGCTTTTCGATTTTCTTAGGAAGAATTAGATTTAATATCAGCTCGGCAGGCGTGCCGTAAACTTTCTGCATAGAGTTTTGATCTCAAAATGCTATAAACTTGTAACTGAAGGGGCGCTTGTTGCGGATGTTTGAATATCCATATTGGATAATACATTTTCTTAAAGTGGAACGCGAACGAATGTGCGGCGGAACCTTCATATTTCTTACGTAATACGAGACGTAATATGGCCATAGGTAACGTAAGTGACTTTACCTTAACAAGTGTCTGCTGGTCAGGCGAAAAATTCAACAAAAATTTTGCAAATTGCCAGTGAAGCCTGTGAAGGACACGCGGGATCTTTTTCACTTATCCGGCCATTGGCCTGCAGAAACACAGCTTTACAACGAAAAACTCTGCAGAGTTTTTACGGTTAATATCGATTCGGCACCTTTGCTGCACGTACAAGTCATGGAACAACCCGTATCTATATGTTCCATATGAAATAACAGTGCTGACCCAATGACACCATCCAGTTCACTGCTTCAGTCAGTCGCGTGCTTCCTGGTATTGCCATAACAACGAATAGCAAGACGTTCGATCGAGATCTAGAGAAGACGCCATCTTGAAGTTCATGTATAAAATGCCCCAAATCTCAGCCGCTTCCTGCGAGTGCGCAATGCACTCGTGCTATGTTAGCAGCCAATTTCCAGTCATAGATTGTGTCGATTTCGTGAAACGTTTCGTATATGTGATACATACTAGTTTTGAAACTTTCCATGTTCGCCTATTTCAAGGGAGACGCTTCGAAAAAACACAAGGATCCTGAACACGCACGATCATCATTAGTATATGTAACTTTTAATTTACTAATCGTATTTTAATTATAAAATGGCACAATTTGCGCAGAGATGTTTTCGCAGGTTGCGCTGACAGGCTTTCCCTATTTGTCTGCGGCTCTTACGGCTCACTCCGTACGTAACCTGCATCAATATAGTCAGCGATATTTAAGGTACACTGCCCGATGAGATGTAAATATATATACACTTGCTAGATATATCACACATCCTAATGTAAAAATATTAGAATTCAAAGATGGCTAAGTTGTCGCGCGCATGAAGATATATACGTAACTACTAAAGCCGTTCAATGAATAGCGTACAGTGCTAACTTATCATAGTTATGAATCAGAACTTGCTAGCCATTGTTGCGGTACCAACAAAGAATCAGCAACGTACAAACGATAGTTTTTATAACAAAAAAATATTATAGGATAATTTCGAATCGAAAAGCGACATCTGACGGTGATATCGCTTCTAGCACCAGACTGGGCTTCAAGGTCTGCTGCATAAATTATGACACCTATAATCTGTGTAAGTGATCGATTAAATTTCCTCCTAAGATAGCAGCGAAAAACGCCGATGAGCCAGCGATAGGCCCGCGTAGGTTGCCTCGGTTTTGCCAATTGAGCAATCGAAAACAGCTCTCGGCGGTACCGGATCGCTTGTTTTTCTAGCCAAATATATATACGACGACATAATACACAACAACGTTATCTATAGCGATTTCCGTATTACTGCATATATATATATATATATATTTCTGCTTAACTATCAACTCGTCAGAAAAATATCCGTACCTACAGATTTGTATCTCAAACAATGATCCGTAAAAGGCCTTCTGTGCAACACGTGTTGATAAAATATTATAATTTGGTTATCGTGTTCGTGGCATTGTTTCATTGTTCGATCGAACAGCGCAGGAAAACGCATCATTTTCAGTTACCATCCAGTGTGAAAACTATAAAACTATCCCATGTTTGCTTTTTTTTTTTTTTTTTGCCATCGATACGAAGCTCGTATACATGGAAGGAATCCTATGAAAGTTGATTCGTACGTTCAGTTTGATTAATAATATAGCGTTACTTTCAGATACAGAATGAACGGGCAGAATGAATGATGCAGAGACTTCATCGAGAGGTTGTTACAGAGGCGTGAACAAACCAATGCCTTTTTCAACTGTGCCGTCGAAAACTGATAAGTGCCGGCGGCATTTCTGTTCTGTGCAATCGTAACATGAAGTTAGGCACTACTCAAGGAAACGAGCCGGCCAGTCGTGACCTGATAACGTGGACGTGGCATCAATCTCTCACTGGTACTCATTTAGAAAGTGCGAAACAGAACTCGTTTCATTAGGTTGAATTGTGTGTACAGGTGGCAATCATGTGCGTACATATAACGTTTCAGTGTCGCATCTATACGTGACTCTCTACGATACAGTGTAGGCACGCTTCGCAGCACCTTGATGTTGAGCAAAATGTGTCATATTTCGAAACGGGGGTGAGTGAAGTCTGCCCTCTAACAAATTCACAGGCTGACAGCCGCATATCGTATTGAATTTGGCCAGCGGTCTCCCGCAGGGAACATTCGTTCGTCCGCTATTATTATTAATACTGAAAGGAAACTGTTCCTTGATTTAGGGCACAATGGCGCCCCATGACGGCAAACGCGGAAGGCTCGTCGTTAGGATATCATGTATCAGCTATTGTCCGAAGTGTTCGCGGGAGTCGAAGCACGACCGAAATCGAAAATGCCCGATAATTTACCGTAGTGCGACTAAGCATAGAACTGGTAAGGAGACGGAAGCACGTTCTTGTATTGCAGAACAAGGAATACGCAATAGGATAACCGCTACACGAGCTTCACTTCTGAACAAGGCACAAAGATACATTCCTGACGATACGCTGTTCTCAACACGTGTCGTAGCGGCTTAACTTAGCGCTTAGGCTGATTAGTGCTTGAACTGAAAAAAGAAAAATAGAAGCTTTTTGCGGACGATATAGCCAAAACACTCGATTTGTCTTAGCTGCCTTTGAACTGTTCGAGGAGCAAACGTTCATTACGAATGCGGAACGAATGGTAGAAACTTCCGCTCCGGGAGACGTCCCGGTTTAGATTTAACTGCGCTGGATTTCTATTCCATAGACGTGCTGTGATCGAGCGAGGATCTAACAGCTGTTGAGAGAACAACGCTGACCCGTCTAACGTCGTTACTAAAAAGGCGTTCAAAAATATGAATGGGAATATTTGGACATGGGGTCTGCGGATGGTTGAAGCCCCGTAATCGACGTGAGTAGTAGTCTCATTAAATAAATACGTCACTCACCGATGCCCTTTCGAAACGTGCGGGAGATGCCACTCATGCATCTGATTCGATTTATGCACAGCTCATAAATGAAGTTGTATCAGAAATGTAACGTTACAATCCAGTTTAAGGCTTGCTTTGAAAATGGCCCGGTTAAACTTACCTTATCAAATCGTCCCTAGGTTAGTTTAGCAGAGGCATATGTTGAACTGGACGTGTGATAAATTTAGAGTGAAACTAGTATCTCAGCCGGCCCACTGCTTCCAGTTGATATAATTGTGGCGATGCAAAATTTTTTTAGAATACGATAAATTAATCACGGATACGCAAAATGAAAATCTGATAGCTCGAGGCCAAACTTTTAGCGACAATTCAAGTGTCCCTGATTCGTCCTTTGCCAGTACATCGCAACAAAAACTGGCCGATCGTGACTCCTTCAGCCCAGATAGGTTTAATCCTCATTTTAACATAAACAGTAAAAATATGTTTTTGTCAAGAAGGGGCGTTGTAAACAATGAACAGACATAATGACCGTCAATCATCGTCTGCATCGATACGCGGCAGTTCCTTCTGTTACTTTTTCTCAATAAAACAATCGTTTTAAAAATGGCGCCCACCGCTTACTGC